AGTTTTGCCCTGCCATATACATAGGTCAAAAGAGGTTATTTCTGATAATCTCCTATTATGAGCAAGGCCTCTAATTCAAATTCTTCTAGGTAGTTAAGTGGGACAAGGTGGCAGAAGTTTCTCGATCCTGCAGGGTCTTAGTTACCTTTAGCTGAAAATAATCTGCATACCACAAAGGCACACCTTGTGGTGACTCATTCTGAATCCCTACAACATAAACTGTTAACAATAATACAAAAAGGTTCAGAAAATGACCTACAAGAATGCCTCATTTTGTTAATCCCACATGTTGTAAAACATTCACAAAATGAAATTGTGTATATAAATACATTTATTTACTGACACTTCATTAATAATAAGCAAACAATAATCAAGTAAACAGCAACATAAGGACCTGCTTTCAGAAGAGGGTTGGGAAAGAGTTCTTAGCAAAAGGCCACATGATGATGACGCTGATGATAATAATCATGGGTAACTAAATGCCAGGCACTATTCTAAATGCTTTACTTAAATCTATTCATTTAACCCTAACAAGAAAGATTCTGACTACACTGTCAAGGAGGAAATTGAGATTGCAAGAGGCTAAGTAACTAGCCCAAGGGTTGCACAGTAGTAGAGCTGGAATTTGAACCAAGGCAATTTAGCTTCATAGCCTTGACTCTTATCACTATCCACCCGGTCTTCTTAGAAAAATCTGTAAAGACCAGGGTTATTATTATTAATGAACCTGAAGAAAAGAGAAAATACCACAAAGATATGTATTTCTGGAATACTACTGACAAACTCCATAGCAATTATAGTTACACCAGCTGATATAGGATTACTCAATAGGTTGCTCTTGCTTAACTTAAAATACCTTAAGCTTTAAGCATTATCTTTTATCTAACACAGAAAAGTATCACCTATTCAAAGTTCCAAAACCTTTAAGAAGTATATTTTTAAATGAGCTTTAAATAGGGTTTACATAACACATAATATCAATTCAGCACACTCTACACAAAGTTGCTTTTCCAGACAAAATAAGGAGTTTCTTCAAGAAATAAACTCCTTAAAAGTTTACTTCCACAATATTTGCAAGTCTCCGTGGAAACAGATTTTTAACACAACAACAAACAAGTTTTCAATTCAATTCATTCAGTTTGTTTACGTCTCTAATCTGGAGTTTAAGTGAGACCAACAAAGAGCATGTGGGCAAAAAACAGCAGTGATAATAAGTTCCTGGCCCTACAATCTCCAAGAAAGGGGAGAGACTAAACAGGTTTTGTGTAATCAATGGAAGCAAAAAGAGTTTCCAACAAGACAGAGAATTAACTCTTCTACATTGGCTATTTATCCAGAATGAAATAATTACAGAAATGACTCCACAGATTAAGAAATAATCCTATATAATAAAAGCGTAATATGCAAATTGACCAAACCACAGAATGACCAGTCGGCGAGAAGTGGGGCCGGTGAGCAGGTGGCGCCAGGCCAGCCAAGGCATGTGCCAGCAGGGAGAGGGAGGGAATGGCGAAGCGGGGAGGAGGCTGTGGGGAGCCGATATAGGGTTAAGCCTCGGACTGACCTGTTAGCAAAATCACAAACAAGTCTTCTTCTGAGTCTTAAACAACCCAATCCGAGAGGTGGCTCCTGATTTACACGTGCTGTCATTTAAAAAATAAAAATGGGGGAATTTGCCGGAAGCCGGTCCACCCTTGCTGCTTGACACAGTCGCTGCAGGGAAGAAACATCTGCACAGCTTATGTTTCAAGGGACCGGGTGTATATGGCATATGTTTGCTCCCCTTCTTAGCACTATGTTTTAAACAGGACCACCTCCCCAAGAAAGGTTATTTCCCCAGGTCAGGGATTAACAGGACTAAGGAAGAGAATAAATCAGTAAATCCTCCTAGTGTTACAGAAATACCATGTACGACTTATGAAGAACTTAGACTAAGACTGTTGGCAATAAATTTGGGACTTGTTGGGCCCACATCCCCAGGGATCTGCCCACCAGGGAAAGCACCAAAGCCTATATCCCTGGAGAGCCACCGACACAGGGCAGTCCCAGGGAAGGCAAGCAGTGAGGCTGGGAGGACATAACCTTTACTGGGTAGAATAATCTCCTTCAGTCACTTCCTTGTAGCTTATCAGTAGAGCAGTGACCTTGGAATAGCCCTTGTAATGGAACACAGAGATGAACCTAGACAAGATTAAAATCAATAGAACTAGATAGAGACAGGATTTTTGGCAAAGGTCAGATAAGAAACAAGGAACTGTAGAACGTTACCCAAAACATACCACGATGTGATTATAGAGGAATGCTATAGGATGAAATGGTATAAATATAGATGTAATAGAACAATAAAAAAGAGAACCTCGCTATGCTGATCAACTGAATGCTGCCTCCCTGTCCTTCATTCTTCACCGACTCTGTCCACACCTTTGGGAACCCCTGGACCTGCTGGGGCAGGACCCCAACAGGAGGCAACAGCTACCAGTGGTGGCGGAGGGGTGATGGGGGGGTGAGGTGAGGCTGCGCCTTCTGGTGCCATCCCCTGATCGGCCGCTCGGTCGCCTCCTGCAGAGGGAGGCTGGCAGCAGCGGGGTGATTGGGGTAGCGCTGTCCCCTGATTGGCCCGCCTGGTTGCCTCCTACAGAAGTAGGCCTAAGCCATCAGTAGGACATCCCCTGAGGTCTCCCGGACTGTGAGAGGGCGCAGGCTGGGCTGAGGGACCCCCTCCCCTGCCGAGTGTACAAATTTTCGTGCACTGGGCCTCTAGTCTATATATATAAAAGGCTAATATGCAAAGTGGCCCCTCAGGAGTTCGATTGCTTGCTATGACATGATCTGACCACCAGTAGGCGGCACAGAATGAAGGAAGGCCCCAGCTGGCAGGTGGCAGCCAGGGAAGGGAGGCCCCGGCTGGCACCTGGCAGCCAGGAAAGGAAGGCCCCGGCCAGCAGCCAGAAGGCCCTGATCGGCTCTGATCGACAACCAGGCTTAGGGACTGTACCCGTGCACCAATTTCATGCACCGGGCCTCTAGAATAACAGAATGATGAAATTACAAACAGCTTTGAGAAATTTTTTTTAGCAGGAGCAAAGTAATTAATACAGCTTCTCATACGTATTACCAACATTCATTGAGTGAGACATGTGTTACAAAGATCCTCTGTCTTTTCCACTTGCCAGAAAGAAGATACCTCGATACCTGATACTAACAAAGCATGAACTCAGAATAACTGTTCTGAAGAATAGAACTAATTTTCTTTCCTTATAACATTCCACTGCAAATCTTGCCAACCATAGCGTTTTTGTTTTCATGGAATTTACAAGACTAAAGGGGGGAGGGGTGGATGTATACACACACATATATATCTTTTTACTACATAAGAGAAATCATTTTCATGCAAACCAGGAAATACTACCGAACAATACAAAGATGCCTAGAGACAACCTGAGCAGAACAGAAAGAACACCTGGGATCTCATTTCCAGTTCAGGTTCTGGCACTACCTAAGCCATAGGACCTCAGGCGCGCCAATACTGACTGTTTCTAGGCCTCAATTTTCTCCTATTAAATGAGAAAAATCTAACTATATGTTCACAGAGGTTGCTTCTACTTCTAAATACTGCATTCAATAGATATTTAACTATATATAAGCACCAAAAACCTCAGCTTCCTCTGCACTTGTAAATTCTTAATAATACATGATGACCAAAAAAGATCAGACTTAGACTCTCAAATACAAAGCTATACTCATTTTCCGGTCACCTACCTATTAATTAAGGTGACTAACTCAATGGATTACAGTATCTAATTATTCCTGGCTAGCTTTTATTGTGTTCAAAAGTAGGGCAAAGATCATCTCAGAGAAATGTATGATAATACTTTCTGATAAATACTACACAACATAAAACACCAAATTTTGAAGAGATGCAAAGGAACAGTATTCTGCACTAGACATGTCCAGATTTCAGAGTAAAATGACAATGTCACCATATTTTCACTTACATAGTGATTTCACATTTACTATCTCAATCATTGTGACATTCTATGAAATAAAATGAGCAGCACCTTTACCAACCAGCTCAGAAAGTTAGGTAATCTGTCAACTTTCACTCAATAAATGTTGGGCTTCAATCCAGGTCTTTGACTCAAAGTTTGATGATATTTTACAATTCTAAAAAGTGGTTATTCAAGCCAAAGACAGGAAGAAGATGGAAAGTGAGAAAATTTGGGTAATCAGTTCCTCGATAACTGAACTGAACAAAAAGAATATGAGACCAGCCCTGGCCGGTTGGTTGGAGCATCCCAGGGAACACCCATACACAGGGTTTGGGCTCCCTGTCCCGTGGGGGTATGTATGGGAGGCAACTGAAGTTTCTCTATCACATCGATGTTTCTCTCTCTCTCTCTCTCTCTCTCACTAAAATCAATGAAAAAAATTTACCAATGACTATAAGATCAGTGTTTGGTAGTTACAAAGTCAACACGCAAATTTACTAGCTATTAAAACTAATGATAACCTCTAACCTATATAATTCCACATCTCAACAACCTTGTCACCTCGTTTCAGACAAGTGTGAAAAAATTTTCTAAATAAAAAACAAGAACAAGCTATACATGAAACAACACGTCTGAATTTTGCTTAAAAGCGTATGCTTCTAAACAGCTTGGTCATCAGCAGGGAAGATCTCCATTTACTCTAAAGTCCTAGAAACCGGGGAAGGAAGAAGCAGCTGAGAACGGCTTGCCAATCAGTGGCGCTCAAGGCAAATGGTCGGGAGTGCAGTGTGTGGGTTCGGTGTACCCGTGGCCAACCGGGGAGCGGTGTCCCAGATAAGCTGGCTACCGCCAGACAGACATCCAGAGTCCGCAGCCCCCGACAACACTGCTCGAAGTGGAAATCACGGTGCCCCAGGTCTGCACGGCGTAAGTGGGAGAGCTCCGGAAGAGGCTGAGCTCTGAGGAAAGTCTCGGGCTTCCGCCCCCAATCCCCCGGACTCGTTTACCTACCCGCTCTGACCCCGGCTGCTCCGGATCTCCGGATCCTACAAGCGGCACCTGACCGACTCTCACACCCGCCGCTGGGCTCCGGCAAAACCGGAACTGGCTCACGTCACTTCCGGTCCGTGTTCCCCCGGGAGACCGTCTCCTGAAGAGAATCGTTCCCACCTCCTTTCGGCAACCTCGGCTGACGGTCGCAGGATTTCGGTTCGGGACCTGTGGGCGGAGCGAGAGGGAGAATGACTGTTCTCTCCGCGGTTCTTGATCCGGAACTTGTTGTCCAGGAACCGCGGAAGAGGTACCTCGTGCGATCGCAGCGTGCTCGCTCCTCCAAAGTGAAGAACCTCAAGACGTGGGCGAGGCGAGGAGAAGCTCACTAGGTAGGTGGGCCCCTCTCAGGGCGAAGGAGAGGATGCCGTTCTCCATCCTCTCTCCAGTTGGGATGTTTCTTTCCGTAACCCGCACCCCCACCCTTTCATCTTCGTAAATTGCCTGCCGCCCCAAAGCTGCTGGAGCCACTGCTCCTGTTCTGCCAGCCATCCTTTGGAAGAAGGGACCAAGATGCTGGGCAGGGGACGGGCCCAGAATTTTCAGTTCCCAGACAAAGCCTCCATTCGGGCAGCATCGATGTGCTCGCTCCGAATGTGAGAGAACACCGAGCAGGCCTCGCACTCTGCTGAGTTTTTATTGAAATTCCCCATCGTATCGAGTTGTTGGGCCCTACGAAGGAAAAAAAAAGGGGGGCGGGGGTTTCCAAGAATATGATCGAAAATTTGGTTCCCAGACTAAAGAAATATTTCCTTAATTGAAATATTAAAGAAGTAGACGCCAGAGACTGTGACCCACAGGAGGAGTTATGTATAAGCGCTACAGCAGCTGGGAAGAATAAATAGTTAAGACTGGGGGTTGGTAAATATTTTAGAGACAGGCATTTGAACTGCGCCTTAAGGAGTAAAGATGTTTTTGTTTGTGTGTTTAAGTGAAGGAAAATAATTGCAGGGGAAGATTGCTGCTTGAAGGGACCTAGTAATTTGGTGTGGCTGGGTAGTACGGTCCACCCTTGAGGGTAGGTTAGAAGGATACGGTAGGTTGTAACCAAAGTGGGTAGCGCTGTAAATTCGTGGAAAGGGATTTGTTTTATCCTTTAGGGGCGTTTACCCAGTGATTTTTGAGCAGGGAAGTTAGACTCAGGTTTGTGTTTTAGGAGCATAATTATACTGGCAGATGGACTAGGATGAACTAGGGCACGAGTGAAGCAAATGTGGAAAGATGAGAGGTAGTGAAGTTAATTTTAGAGGCTTTTGGCCAAGAGATAATTGGGGCACTGCTTAGATAAGATGGTTTAAGACAGATCAACAAGTTTTGGTGACTGGGTGGGAGGACAGAAAAGTCCAGAGTTACTTACAAATCAAGAATACAGAAAAAGGAAGTTTGAGAGGGAAGGGAAGATACTGAGTTCAGTTTAGAGTACTTCATAGACATCTAAGTGGTGAAACTAGCAGAAGCTGGAAATTCAAGTTTGGAGCTCAAGAAAGGCTTTAGGGATCTTCAGCATAGGATGATTTGGGAATAAAGCTTTGAAGATGAGCTTTGTATCATGACCTTGATAGTGAGTACATTTTAATACTGCTCTTATTAGTCATGTTACTGTGGATAAGCAGCTTCTCTGATTCTTATCTTTAAAATGAGGCGAATATTTTCCTTTTATTTTCATAGCAACAGTAATGGAAGTAAAAGGTTTAGAATGATACTTTCTCCGGATAGTACCTGATTTTGACATATGAGATATTTGGTTACTTTGCAACCTATAAATTAGAGCAGAGAATCCGTCTAATTGTTCAGTTTAGAGTCTGGTTGTTAGATTATCAGAGAGAAGTCCTAAAGTCCCAATGTGGGTTCTAATAATTTACTTTTCTGGCTCTAGAGCCATGAAGTCCTGTCTGCACAGCCCTGTTACCTCATTAGGCACACCAGCACACCAGTGAAAGAGGACTGTGTGATCCTTTTACCTCTAGCCACCCCATCACTAACTCTCTTTTGAACCCTAAATGTTTGTTTCCTCAGGATTTTGTTTTAGCCCTTTCTTCACTCTACTTTTCCCAGTGGCCTCATCCACGTTCATCACTTTGATTACCTCAGTTGTATGTGCAGTTCTCTTAAATCTATATTTCTAGCCTGGGCTTCTGACCACTAAAATGATGCACATATACACTATCTGAAAGGAGAAGCCTCCTATGAAATCTTTTGTAAGTAGAAATGGATGGTATAAAGTGAAGAAGCAATTCCTGTTCATTTATATGGAAAAATTTGAGTGTTCCCAAGCCCCAGAAAATAACGTACCAAATCATACAAGAAACCTAAAATAATACTTGGATAGTAAAAACAGTGCCACTCTTACTACTCTGGGTGCACGCTGCCTCTATATTGAATCGCTGAAAAACAGTGAACACTTTTTGCTTTCTGCCCTTTTTTTTTTGTAAAATGGAAAATCTTCGTTTTTCTTTTGGTTACTGAAAGCAGGTACTAATGTAGGTTTTCACCAAAGCGAGTGATGTAATATGGATTTTCAAATGTGGGAGATACCTCTATCTTTTTTATTTGCCAGACATCTCTGACCAAGATGTCTTTTGGTCAAACAAAATGCAATATACAATTTAAAACTGATTTCAGTATCTTTTACTTTCAAACATGAATTGTACTTGTTAAAAGTTAATTTTATAGTATATGAATTACGTCTCATAAGGTTTAACATCCCCTTCCCCTGCACTATCCTTATATTAAAATATTTGATAAAACTGCATATAACTTACCATATAAATTTTTAAAGCATCAATGTCCTAATTTTAACGAGAATAAAAAAAATTTATGATAAAAAATGTATTTCCAGGACTTGTGCCACAGAATCACATGAATCCAATAACCTCAAATGTAGACTGATACGTTTTACTGGTGACTCAGATACCATCAACAGCTTTGCTGGGATAACAAGAATTAATTTTTAAGATAAAAAAGGATAAAGGATAATCTCCCTTTGTTTTTATATAAAGCACTCTGGTAAATTCACTGTATATTAAATGCAAAAAATAGTTTGTGTTTGTATGTAAAATGAAATTGGGTTCGTCTTGTGTATTAGTTTTGCACTTACAATAATGTCCAATGGGACTACGCTCAGGTCTAGTAAATGTTAGCAAGGCACCTCACTCCAGACCCATTACATAGACAACCAGGAACTTCTCTGAGGCGCTGGTACCATCCCACGTTGCATTATGAAGACACGATTAAATAAGCACTATATTCCAGAAAAGGGGGTGGGGGAGTTATTCTTGGTTTCTTTAGACCCTTCGGGCATCTTGGTAAAACAGGACATTTCCTTTCTGAGGAACAGAGCTTTGTTGTAGCCAAGAAGAAGAGATACTTCTTACTTTGAGATTCAAAATGACTTAAATTGCTTCATCTGTATTCTTGAAATTTTTTCTAGTACAGAGGAGAAAAAGCAGTACACACATAAGATTCAAAATATATTGTGCTTTTCTGGGTGACCTCAGAGTTTTAAAAATACTGTTGCTTATATACTATCAAGGTATTTGATAAGCCTATAACTTTTCACTGCTGTGTAGTGATAACCTTTTTCCTTTCCTTTAAGATGCTCTCCAAATCCTTGGTAATGGAGTATTTGGCTCATCCTGGTGCACTCAGCGTGGCTGCTGGAGTAGCTTGTGGCATGTGCCTGGGCTGGGGCCTCCGTGTACGCTTTGGGATGATCCCCAAAAGCTCAGTGAACGAGGCAAACACAGAAACCAGAACTGAAGCAAGCATCTTAGGAGAGAGTGGGGAGTACAAAATGATTCTTGTGGTTCGAAATGACTTAAAGATGGGAAAAGGGAAAGTGGCTGCCCAGTGCTCTCATGCTGCTGTTTCTGCCTACAAGCAAATTCAAAGGAAAAATCCAGAATTACTCAAACAGTGGGAATACTGTGGCCAGCCCAAAGTGGTGGTCAAAGCCCCTGATGAAGACACTCTGATTGCATTACTGACCCACGCAAAGACGCTGGGACTGACTGTAAGTTTAATCCAAGATGCTGGACGTACTCAGATTGCACCAGGTTCTCAAACTGTCCTGGGAATTGGGCCAGGACCAGCAGACCTAATTGACAAAGTCACTGGTCACCTAAAACTTTACTAGATAGAATTTTGTATCATGATCGTCTCACCACAAATGTTTGAAACTGTCAAATTCTAACAATAAAAGCTGAGTTTCTTCCCCCAATTTAAGTGTTCTTGAGGTGAAAATCTGTTGCCATGTTCTTCTGTCATGTACTTGGCACAGTTACACAGTTATCTTGGGCTAAAAAGAAAAAAAAAGTTGGTTAAATTGTCCTAGTGGTTTAAGTCCTGAAACAAAAAATATTTAAGAGAAACAGTTCACAACAAAATTGGATTACAAGGGGGGAAACAGCATTTCCTTTGCATGGTTAGGTCCCTCCGCATGTTAATAGCTCGTCTTCCCCAAGACTACGCTGCTGTCACCATTGGAGAGGATCAGGGGTTCAAAGGTAGTCCTATTGGATGCAGGTTCTTTCCTACCATAACTTTCTGGGTGACTGAGCACCTACTTTATTAATAGATGTATAGCCACCCACAAAAGGCTTTAGAGCCCAGGGGTGGGCAAACTTTTTGACTCGAGGGCCACAATGGGTTCTTAAACTGGACCGGAGGGCCAGAACAAAAGCATGGATGGAGTGTTTGTGTGAACTAATATAAATTCAAAGTAAACATCAATACATAAAAGGGTACGGTCTTTTTTTTTTTTTTTTAGTTTTATTCATTTCAAACGGGCCGGATTCGGCCCGCGGGCCGTAGTTTGCCCACGGCTGCTTTAGACTCTAACCTGCTGGATTTTAAAAATTTATGTCTCAAAGTTGAGGTTTAATAGCATTGATATAACCCACCTGTGCAGTGTTTCATGCTCATTTCTCAGACCCCCTGTGGCCAAAGGTTCTCAGCAGTGGTTCTACATCATAGCCTATAAAAGCTGCTTCACTTCCCCCCTTTCCTAACAGTGAAAGCATTGAAACTGGTGAAGTGACTTGTATGGACCCTAAAGGTGGTGATGGGCACATGTAGG